TCCATGCCAACATTATCAATCTGCAACAAAAACCAGTGAGGTAAGTAATAAAAAATGCAGAGCTTGATTTTTGTTTAAACAGAATATGGTTCAATTTATTTAACAAGTAATTTAGCTTATGGAGAAGGAAAAAATTAGATAACTGAGATGAATAACACAACGAATATACCAATTGATATAGCAAGACTATATAAATAAAAATCAGTCAATCTACACGTGCTAAGTTTAAGTTTAAGGCCCTTTTTCAGTTAAGTTTAAGGCATTTTCGGCTCTAACTCCCAACCTACACGTGCTAATTACAGTCCGTTTATTGTCACAGGTCCTATTTGTTATAGGGAAGGTGGCCGTGACATTCGAACGGTGGTTCGGGGGCTGTTTCGCAACTTCGCCCTCTTAATGCCCTTTTTCGGTTAAGTTTAAGGCATTTTCGGCTCTAACTCCCAACCTACACGTGCTAATTAAATTCCGTCTATTGTCGCAGCTCCTATTTGTGATAGGGAAGGTGACCGTGACATCCATATAGTAGTTCGGGGGCTGTTTCCTATTTTTGCCCCCTTAAGGCCCTTTTTTCGGTTAAGTTTAAGGCGTTTTCGGCTCTAACTCCCAACCTACACGTGCTAATTACAATCCGTTTATTGTCACAGGTCCTATTTGTTATAGGGAAGGTGGCCGCGACATCCGAACGTTGGTTCAGGGGCTGTTTCGCAGTTTCGCCCTCTTAACGCCCTTTTTCGGTTAAGTTTAAGGCGTTTTTGGCTTTAACTCCCAACCTACACGTGCTAATTACAATCCGTCTGTTGTCACAAGTCCTATTTATGATGGGGAAGGTGGCCATGACATCCAAATAGTGGTTCGGGGGCTGTTTTGCAATTTTGCCCCCTTAACGCCCTTTTTCGGTTAAGTTTAAGGCGTTTTCGGCTCTAACTCCCAACCTACACGTGCTAATTAAATTTCGTCTATTGTCGCAGCTCCTATTTATGATGGGGAAGGTGACCGTGACATCCATACGGTAGTTCGTGGGCTGTTTCCTATTTTCGCCCCCTTAAGGCCCTTTTTCGATTAAGTTTAAGGCGTTTTCGGCTCTAACTCCCAACCTACACGGGCTAATTAAATTCCGTCTGCTGTCGCAGCTCCTATTTATGATGGGGAAGGTGACCGTGACATCCATACGGTAGTTCGGGGGCTGTTTCCTATTTTCGCCCCCTTAAGGCCCTTTTTCAGTTAAGTTTAAGGTGTTTTCGGCTCTAACTCCCAACCTACACGGGCTAATTAAATTCTGTCTGTTGTCACAGCTCCTATTTATGATGGGGAAGGTGACCGTGACATCCATACGGTAGTTCGGGGGCTGTTTCCTATTTTCGCCCCCTTAAGGCCCTTTTTCCATACCAAGTGTTAAGCTCTATTCCTATTCAATCATCTGTGACCCGAAATAACTAAGCAAGCACTATAATTTATGTAAAGTTTTGCCCAGTTCAATGAATAATGAAGCAAGCACTATATAACTAAGAAAGCACTATAATTTACATTTTAGTGAATGAATGAGACCAAAAAGCTTTGCCGAGTTCAAAAGCTCCCTATTAGATTTAATAAAAAGGTTTCATCATTTATGAATTTAAACTGATTAAATTATAATCATGAAAGGTAATAGCACAGTAAGCATTAAGGAACTATATACTGTAGTAAATTTTATTTGCTGCAAATAAAAAAGTTGTCCAACTTGAAAAAAATAATATGAAACCATAAAAGTTGGAAGGATCAAAAAGTGCACATAATTGGGAAGGCCAAGCTTTCCTGTAGCGAAAAATAAAAAATAAAATGAAGAAAGGGCTACAAATGTCCTACTAGTGGGTTTACAAAGTACTTAAATGGACTCTAGTAAACAAGATTGTAATTTTCCACATCTTCTACTTCACATTTAATTCAAATGCTATGCAATCTGTCATTCTGTTGTAAACCCTCAGTCCCTCACCAGATATGTGGTACAAAAAGTCAGAATGGCCACATTAGGACGGGTTATCTCTTTGTCCAGAATATATATGCTTATAGATTTTGTGCCTTTGACTTAAAGAGGTAAGATATTTTGCCCTCATGGAGATTTTGAGACATGCTCATGACCATAATGAATCGTAAGCCTCAACCTTGAATCCATGTATAAAGAGCACAAAACCTTGCTCAAAGCTTAGAATGTCATCTAGCATTCAATTAGACATCCTAAAATCTAAGAAACCAACATACTTCACCAAATGAATGTCAATGTCATAACATGACTTACTAGAACAAAACCAAACAAACATAACATATATATATATATATATATGTATACAGAAACCACAATAAAGAGATCATGCAAAATAAACTACATATTGTTATGGACAGACCTGTTATTTCTAGCAATTGCCAGTGATGCTACCACCTCTGCAGAAAGAACATAGATAGGACCATAAGCATGCAACATGTATTCACTACCAATCACATGTCCTGATTTCTCATACCTGGAAATATTTGCAATACAAAAAAAATTGAAAAATTAGGTTGCGAATAGTTATACACACTTTATCAAATATATACATTATTGCATAAACAAAAAAACACAAAAATATATATTTAAATGAGAGGGAGGGGTAAAAGTTTTCCTATCTACCACTTCAGTTTAGAGTCAATTATCACAGGTCCTTTCTTTATGCATCCAATGTAAGTCAGTGAATGGCTTCTCTCTTTAGCCAAAAGAGTTGCAAGTCGATCTGTTGGAATTGAGAAAATGGTATTAATAGTAAAAGACCAGCAATAGTTAAATTATTGAACTGCGACGAAAATATTAGTCGCCAAAAGTACTATTTGGCGACTAAATTTAAATTTAGTCGCCAATAAGTAATATTTATTGACTAAAAAATTTTAGTACCGGTATCTTGAACCAACGCCGACAAATTTGAATTTTAGTTGCCAAAAAATGAACTCTCGGCAACTACAATTTGTTTAGTCGCCAAAAATGCTCGCCAAAGGTGCGATTTCTTGTAGTGTAAGCACAGAAGCAGATGGGCAGCAAGAACAAACCCAACACTAAGTACACCCAAATATAAACAAGACCTATTTATAGAATAAACCATGTACATCCCACATGGAAGGCCAAAATTAGGTCCAGGAAATACATATAGTATCACAATAACTATTTCAAACATAATAACAAAGTAAATGTTCCAACTGTATGAACACCATCACGACGCATCCACAACAGCATTAAGCCAGCAACAGCAACACACAGCCGGCAGCAACCAGAATCAAGAAACAGCAAGCAACCAGCAACCAGCAACAAGCAACAAGCAACACAGCAAGCAGCTACCCCTTCCTTCAAAACAGTAACAAAAATAGCAGCAGCAGCAGCATCTAGAATCTTAGAAAATAAGCCACAATTACAAGATAAGATAAGCCAAAAGCCAAAACTATATAATAAGCCACAACTTAAACAATGTAGACTAATCCAAGTGAAAACACCACCTGAAGATAATGTTTGAATATACTTACCAATGTTGGTTGTTTCTAAAGTCCTAATTTTTCCCCTATTCCACAACCCCTTCCATGGGTTTGTCTCCCGGGTCTCTGACTATATACTCTCTATATATCTTGCACTGCTGCACGTACGACTTCCTCGCCCGTTTCTGTAGAAGCTGGCTGCACATCACCAATGGCTGCAATACAATCATTTGATACCACCTCCAGCAAACCTTCACATACGGCACTAAGCTGTGAAACGCCATCATCCGCTACATTATTGTCATGGTCTATTGCTTGGCGTCCCCCTCGCCCTCGCCCTCGCCCTCGCCCTCGCCCTCGCTCTCTACCCCTACCTGTCCCTCTGGTAGGTGTTTGGACCTGGCCCTCCCCCTCCCCGTCAATGTGGAAGTCATGGGTAATGAGTGGATCAACATGGTAGGTGAAGGTTATATGTGGTGTAGGGGATGATGGTGGGATAGGAGATGATGGTACTGTGAAAGGGTCGGGTGCGGTCAATGTCGACGCAGAGGGAGTCATAGTAGACAAACATGTAGTAGACAGTGGTGCTAAGGGAGTCACCGGGGTACCAACCGCTGCCCTATATGGGGGTGGTGACCAGGAGGGGTCCAATATATGGCCATGGTGTGTGGAAGTATGTTCAGACATTAGAGGATCTACCTCAGGGGCAAACTGGGATGTGTAATTGGTACATTTAGGTAGGGAAGTCTGCGGTGTATGCATTGCTGTAGATGGACGATGAGGGGACAGGCCCATGGAAGGCCCCTCACCAAAGTGTTCCATATCGAAATAGTTCGATTGATGTGCATGACGTGCGGTAGGATGCAGTGGAGGCATTGATGTCGATGGCTCAGTGGATGGCATATTCGGGTGTGGCATTGATGTCACTATAATATCTACCCCCATATAAGGATCCTCGCCAAAGTGGCTGAAATCTAGTCGGTCACGTCGGTGTGCCTGTTGCAAACCATCGTACAATAACTCCCGTATCTCGGCAATGGCATCCAATCCCTCTCTACCATCGCGTGTAATATGGGCAGCGTCTGCCATGTGATGCCCTCGTAACTCTACGAACCTGTAATGTAATGGTAGCTGTGTTACATAACCATCAATGCCAAATAACAAACATACACAAACTTAAGCAAATGTTGTTTTGGAGAATATAAAGAACTTACCAATCCCTCTAAACTACCCCCGACGCCTTGGTATCCGAAGGTAGCAATGTCACTCGGATTACTAAGTACTAGATGTGTATGACGGCGAAACCATAACATGTATGGATCCGAAGATGTAAGCACTTCATTGCTCCTCTCAGCATTGACAATGGTGTTGCGTCAGTTGTTCCACTCACCAATAAATGTCTGGTATTCCTTTGCCCAATCAATGGCCATTTTGCCACGCCTATCTCTAAAATGCATAGCTAAGTGGGTGTCAAAGCGATCAGGCACACTCTGAACTCGTCCAAATTGTCTAAGCACCCGGTCGGGGAGATGTCAGTCAATGATATCGAAGCATATAAGTGGCACTTGTGCCATCCATATGTCTCGACCAACGGTACAATATGATGGGAAGCTGGTCATGATGTCATCCTCCATCCCGTAAGGCTCCCATATGAACTGCAATAGCAATGCAATAATTTAGAGATCTATTCGTACCACGGAGGTTGACAAACAAAAAAATGGGTGAATTCACATGAACAAATTACAAACCTCCCCCTCTATCATGCGGTCGAACTAGTCCCGGAAGATGACACTGACATTAGTCGATATCACCTCATGGCTGAAGGGAACCCTCCACCTGCAAGCTCGCAGGCCATGTGGTAACAACTGGTCACCCTCCCCTATGGCACGCTCGCCAGCAGCAATGTTCGACTTCCGACTAGGGGCGATCCTGCTCAATCTCTCCCACGCCCAAACCTACAATGAATGATGCCATTATTAATTTATTACAATAGGCACTTTAGAAAACATGGCAATTGAGAATATGAGATAAAACTACAAGTCATTGCAACTCACTTGTAACAACACAAGTGGGCCAGCTATCTCCTTTGTATCAGCCTTAGTTGCCCGACACAACATCCTGTACAAACATGCCAATGTGGCACCACCCCAGCTGTACTCTTGGATACGGTCAAAGTCTCTAAGTAGTGGCAAAAACATCATCTTCACTATATTTTGTGACTTATCGGGGACGAGCACCCCCCCAATAAGCCACATAATATAGGTTCGAGCATAATGATGAACCGTCTCATCGGATGCATCATGTGGAAGGTGACGGAAATGCTCTGATATCCATTTCAACTTAAGCGATGATCCTATGAAGTCTTCTTGTGTAGGTGCTGCTCCTAATAACTCCACACATAGCGCTATCAAATCATCCAACTTATTTCCTAGGTCTTTTCCAGTGACTGTGTGTCCGTCAACCGGTAGGCCAAATAGAATAGCCATATCTTGTAATGTAACTGTGGACTCTCCAACAGGAAAATGAAATATGCGCATCTCTATGCGCCACCTCTCTACGAGAGTTGTAATGAGATGGTGGTCCAATCGAATAGGTCTGATCCGATACACCCCATAGAACCCCGCACGGAGTAGGCAACGTAGGACTCTATGGTCCAAGGCGGTGTCCCATATGCCCGAATCAAATCGTCAGCATTTCAATTTCGGCTGATCTTTCACCTGCACAAGACAACGTTGTGTGTAAGAGACATAATGCTTGTACAAATGACAATTGAATTTTCATAATGAACCCATCTTCTATTAACTGAAACAGTGGGTGAGATAACCAACATTTTAGTGGTGCATAGTGCGTAAGTGGTGTAAATGTACAAAGATAAATACATATAGACACAGATTTGCAGTGTCATGACATAGAAATAAAAGGCTTCATCAAAACTAATATAAGTTTTAGAATGTTTGGTACACCTGTTAACGAAGTTGGGTTGTACCCTTCACTGTAGACTGCAATGGGGGTTTATGTGGTTTTCAGTTAAATTAGAAGGGCGTAAAATATAACCAAGCCGTCATTTCATCATTGAGATAAGAATTAAATAAGTTGGGGATCAAATGAATACAATGAAATATTACAGACTAATATAACATATAATGAATATATTTTGAAGAGTTCAAAGTCCTTTATTTTGAAATGAAAAATGTCGCTCGAACTATATTAATGCAAGTTGTTGTAGTATGAAATAAGTTAAAAGTTATTTAAGTAAACGAACAAGCTAAAATAGTCACTTTGTCAATAATTGAAATTGTTTGTGTTCTTATTTTATATAATTTTTAGGACTGTAAAAATATAAAATAAGAAATCGCTGGCAAGTAGACGATTATGTTATTCGGAATTGGCAAAACGCTTCACTAATGAATCAACAAATGAGAAATCATAACATATTAAGTGAATTATTTATTATTTCTTAATTATTTAACAAAAGTGAATCAACATATTTTTCTCCTAGAGTACTACATAATTATTGAGTCATCCTAGAGTATCATGTGGTGTTATTTATTTAATGTTCCCAACTACTTACGTGATGACAATTTTTACAAGAAATAATGTTGGCTCACTTTATTAACTAGGTAGAAGACAAGGAATGAACAACTGGGCCTTCGTTTGGCATGGCAAAAAGACAAAATAGGCTAAAAAGTCAATAACACAAAATGTTACATTTAAACAATATTCATTTCATTTTTTCTTTTACAAAAGCCAAAAAGCCTATCCCAAGTGAGGCTTTTTAACCCCAGGCTAAAATAGCCAAAAAGTCAACCCACATCCGAAACGAACCCCTTCATGTGTTTATTTGGTACAATTTATTGTAAGTAAAAGGTTAGTAATAAAAAAGACGCTGAAAGCATTATTTCTCTAACATTATGGTAATTAACTTTTTCAACTTATTTAAAAATAAAAGTTGCACCAACAGGCCAATACGCAACTCTGAAATTATAATTAAAAAAAAAACTACAAACAATTCATGTAAATTATACTGAAAATCGTCTCATCAAAATTGAAAAAGTCAATGTGGGCTAATAGTGTGAAAACAGTTCGTACCATGAATTCCAAAAACCAGCGGGTGGTTCCCACTGTTACAACACTTAACTATTTTTGAAAGGGCAAACTCCACCTATTTTTAAAATTTTTTATTGAAATTTATCAATTGAAATAATGTTGTTCAAGTAAGGAAGTAGACAGATCTAGTTTTCCACACTGCGGTGGTACTATGAGTCGCTGAAATTGGATTATTTAATAATTTTTTGAGTAGGTAATGGGTGATGAACTAGGACTTCTGATTTGATGATTATATAATATTATTTTGCGCTATAAGATTATGAATTCAACCTCTATAAAAAAGAATTTTGTTTGTGATATTTATTTCTTCTTTTATTTTAGGAATTGTATTTAAAAGTCCTTTATTTCATCGTAAGCATGAACTTGGGGTAATTGTTAAACTTGATGATTATCAACTTTTTAACCATTTATTTATATATTTTTTTTGGGTTAAGCTAGCGGTCCATTTAATATAATCTTCTTTGTTCTCTCTCTATGGACTAACGTTTACACTTGGGGAAATTTGTCTAAACCATTGAAATGTCCAAATAGGATGATCCATGGACTAACATTTACAGTCCATTCATTATATTATGTAACAACTACAGTGTTTGTGTAGTATTCAAATATCGATTATAAGTAAATAATTCATACCGACTGACGCCATATTGTATCGGCTCGATGTTGATGAATCAATAATGGGATCTCCTCTGGTAAATGAGTCATAGACCTGCACAAGTTTTCACATATGAAATCGATATCCGATAACAAGAAGTTTGACAATAGTACATACATATGCTGACAAAATTAGAATACAACCTGACAGTATATCATAGGTATACAAACTGCAACACGATAGGGAAAACAAAAAGAAAGGGCATGAAATGAAAAAGTAAAAATAATATCACGGAAGTGTGTTCATCCGCAGTAACCCCTAATATAAATTATCAGCACCATTTCATATCCTCTGCGTGTCTATAAATAGCAGTACCCCAACTACGATCATTTTCCAACCCATCTCAATAATTCTTTACAACCCATATATTTATTTTCATTTTGCTGTGTACAAGAAATGTCTTCGAGGGGTGCAGGCAGTTCACGCCAACGAAGGCTGCCTAAAGTGTGGCTACTACCTCCATTTAGTTATGACTACATGAGCGAAAAATACTCTAGCCCAAAGGATTATTACGCTGGTATTCGGGCAGAATGGACATTCAGGGTAACGGAGCAGGAGAGCTTGTTTAATGATCTACGTAACTTAGGGGCATCGGTACCTCATCGTCGTTCCTTGAGCATGCCTAGACGAAATGTGGGTGACTATGAGGAAGCAGATAGCAGAATTCAAAAAGAGAACAACAGAATGTTGCTGCGGAGATGTCGCCATTTCATGCTTCAACTAGCAACTGAAGTGGCAAAAGCAAGCAACAGAGAATTGACTATAACCGAGCGAAATCACGTCTTACACTATAGCGATCTCGGTTGTCCTTTTACTATTCTGTTGTATTCCGGACTCGGTTCTGTGATGTTGGTGGTGGTATACCTTGTTGTCATTCTTTAATTTCGCTTGATTGAGTTTTAGGATGTACTGGGCAGAGTTGTTACAGGTTGGTTGGGCTTTGGTTTCAATTCTTTGTTGCCTAGTTTTTAGGAGGTCTGGTCGAGCGGGTCTTCTTGCGCTCGAGCGGATATTGCACACTCCCAGCATTTTGATGCTCTGCAGAACTTCTGCAAGCATGTTTTTCACGCTCGAGCGGGTTTATTTATGCTCGAGCGGTGGCGCTCGAGCGGGTACTCTGGCGCTCGAGCGGGTAGTACTTTTTAGTGTAAGTTCTGGGAGGGGAAAATCTACTCTCGAGCGGACTGGTTTTCGCGCTCGAGCGGATGTACTTTATTCTTGTGTCTTGGCGCTCGAGTGGGCCTCATTACGCTCGAGCGGACCTAGTTTTCTGTTCTTGACCCTCGAGCGTTGTGTTCTCCGCTCGAGCGGGAATGTCGTATATCAGTTGGCAGCTGGGCATTTTAAAATCACTTTTTACATTCTCTCTCTCTCTCTCTCTCTGACTTTCTAAAAAGACATTTTGAGAGTTCCTCTCTCTAGGAACTCCATTCTCTCTAGGGTTTGATCTAGTTAGAGTGTTTCCTTTTCCTTCGGCCTTTGTAAAAGTTGGGTTGATCGTCGAGGGCTACACTTTGATCCGAGAATATTGAGTTTTGGAGCACGTTGAGTTTCTTCATCTTCTTCCCTTGAGCTCCGATTTTTGAGGTAGGGATTCCTACTCACTCTTATGGTCTTTGACATAGATTTTTGGTTGTTTTGATAAAGTGTTGAAGTTGGGTAATTTTGAGACTTAGGGTTTCGAAATGTTAAAAGAGGGTTTTGTTATTTTGATTCCAAGAATGTGTATTATGAGTTTCAAAATAATGATATTGTTGTTGGTTGTTGATATATAGACCATTGGGTCAATATTGGGAAATGGGGTAGAAAACACTAATTGGTTGTATAAATTAATTGGTATGATTAATTTGGGAAAATTGTGGTTATATGGAATTGAGTTGGAAATAATGAAATTGGCTCATTATATAGTAGAATGGTGGAGTTGGATTTGTTAATCGCTCACTTTTGAAAACATTGATATTTTATCTGTTGGAGCTTTTGTTATCTGTTTAGAAATAATTGCTTGGACTACCGGTGGAGGGTGGTTTTGATTGTTGTAGACAATGCATGATGATTAGGCAAACTAAAACTAATCAATTGGATATGTCATAGAGTATGACGGTTGATAGAATACATTAACGTTATGTATTGGTTGATTGTGTATATGACCTATGTGTATATACGTTGTGTGTATGGGAAGAGATATGGGATGTACTCCACGGTTTAGGGGAAGATAGGGGATGGACCTCTAAACCAGATGTTGTTTGGGAGGAGATAGGGGATGGACTCCACTGATACAGCTCATATGCTTGTCAGTTAATGTGTTGATACAGCTTATATGCTTATCTATGGAAGTGTTGATACAGCTTATATGCTTATCTATGGAAGTGTTGATACAGCTCATATGCTTATCTTTGGAAGTGTTGATATAGCTAATATGCATATCTGTTGAAATGTGGATATAGCTTGGATGCTTATCTATTGAAATGTTGATACAACTAGTATGTTTGTCTATTGTAAAATGGGAAATGTCTAATATGAGTCACTGTCTCATATAAGTGGTTGGCCAGGTTCTGAGCCGTTGATGTAAATTGTGAAATTGATAAGAAATGGAAACTGAAATGAAACATGAACATAGCGGTCATGAAATGGAAATGGATTATGAATTGATTTATAGAACTTGAACATTTATCAATTGCTAACGTCTTAGTTATTGCTCATACTGTGTTTAGCATATTTCTACTGGGCGTTGGCTCACCCTATGTGGGACATCATTTTTAGGTACAGGTAGTATGCCACCTCCAAGGACACAGCTTGGATGATGATGAGAGTTGAAGACTCTTTTGTTTATTTTGTTTGTATTACATGTATATCAAGCCAAGGGCTTATTTTGTATAGAGTTAGTACTCTTCTTTTGTGTAACCAGGTGTTGACTTGGAAAGCAGTAAGCCCATAGAGCATTTGCTTTTGTTGTTAACATGTACTACTATTGTAAGAACTACTCTGATGAATATAAATGGTTGGTTTCTCTTATATAATTGCATGTCTAGTGATGAGTTTTATGTATTTTTTTGAGGGCGTTACATACACAATGAAAAATATCTCTCTGACTACTACATGTCAGATGAGGAATGACAAATCAAACATGTAAGTGTTGATGTTCAATGTGTATATGTCGTACCGAGTCTATTTTCAACATATGTAACCTAAGAGTTCAGTATGTGTGCCTGTTTTATGTTGTTGATCTGTATCGAGTCTATGTTGTGTAACCATCCACTACATTGTTGTTGTTCAACTACGTTATTAACCGTCCGTTGCACTATGTGTTACTGTTTTATGAAGCTTAAGTTTATGAAAAGTGTACATTTATGTACACTCACCTATAATCATGGCCTACAACATTTGTATTTGCATTGGTAACTTGTGACTACCCATTATATTATTTTCGAAAGAATGTTTAATAATGAATTTCGGGGAAGCAAAAAAAAATTGTTTACATTAAAGGGACCAAACGAATGCGATCAGCTAGACAGCCACATTTTATTTGAAAGTATAGACCCATTTAATCTGTCAATTATGGATGTAAATCATAAAATAAAATGCTAAACATTAACAAGGGCCATTGGAAGGGGCATCAGCTATATGCTGATCTTGACAATTATCACATTTTAAAAATGTTGTGCATTTTCAGTGAAACCATTACACAAGTCATAATTTCACATTCTAAATTCTCCTTTTATTGATAACTTGTGCATACGCATTACAAAGCCATTACAAGAGAAATTGTTCCGCCAGACATCGAAACAGTTTCATTCATTATCATCATCATCTGACATCTCAATGTTAGATTGATACATAGTGTCCATGCTCCAACTTAAATATTGTTGCGCATCATCCATTAAGCCATCTTCAGCACGCTCATTCGCTATCTTCTGAAGTTCAGACCTTTGCAAACGTTGGGTCATGCGATTAACTTCATCGCGAATATGATGCAATGCCTTTTGCAACAATTGTGGAGCGTCAATTGGCATACGCATGGCTAGTCGTCGAGGAAATTTAATATGAACTTCACGACATAGCTCAACGAGAACGGTTGCTCGTGTTATGCGAAATTCCCACTCAGCTCTCATGGTATTAACGGTGCGATGTGAGTAACGCAAATTTGGATTTAATGGGTATTGAAATTCATCTCCGTCTGCAACCCAATGGCAACCCATTGCGAAATATAAATCAACCACCGTATATGTCATGATGATATCTCTCGATTTTTTGTGTAAACATGTGGGTCTGCTAGGGTGTGATACTTATAGCGGTGACTGGGAACAGTAGTTCCAACATGCAGAACACATAAAATGGAGATGGACACGATTACTCATGTCTGTGTGTTTACCGTAAGTGGAAGAGCATTATCACGTCAGCTTTTATGACATGAAAAAACGTGCTTTAACTTTATGTCATGATGGTACCTATGTGTTTAAAATAATTGGAAAAGCGTTGTCACGTCAACCTTTATGACGTAGAAGAACGTGCTTTCACTTTATGTGATGATGGTACCTGTGTGCTTTTAGTAATTGGACGAGTGTTGTCATGTCAACCTGTATGACATGAAAAAACGTGCTTTCAATTTATGAAATCAAGGTAGCTGTGTTTGTAAAGTAATTTGAAGAGCGTTGTCACGTCAACCTTTATGACATGAAAAAACGTGCTTTCAGTTGATGCCATGATGGTACTTGTGTGTCGAAAGTAATTGGACAAGCGTTGTGACGTAAACGTTTATGACATGAAAAAACGTGCTTTCATGTCATTAGGAGATGTCAATTCGATAGATTTCAAATCCATACAGCTGACGAGGGTTTTTAGGAAATTTGAAATTCACATATAAAAACTTTTTAAAACTAATCATTAATCAATATGTACTAAATTTAAGAGAAATTTCTTGCCTGGAAAAATGGGCTTCTGTCACGAAATGAAAAATTTCTTGCTTGGAAAAATTTCTTGATAACTAAAAACCAGTTCACCACCTAACAAAATGTGCCTACGCATTGAATATTACATGCATTTATATTGTTGATTAATAATTCATTTCACATTATTGTGATAGGAGATAAGGTACACATGGTACCTGTGATTTTAAAGATATTGTCAGCGCGTTGTCACGTCAAGCTTTATGACATGAAAACCCATGCTTTAAGTAGATTTCAAATCCACTACTCAAACTTTTTAGAACAACTAAGCATTTACCAATATGTACTAAATTTAAGACACATGATTGAATTGATAAAATGGTCTTCCCTCATATAATGAATTTTTGGAAACTAAAAAAACAATTCACGACCTAACAAAATGTGGCAACACATTAAATATGACATGCATTTATATTGGTGATTAGTAATTCATTTGACATTATTGTCATAGGAGATAATGTTCACATGGTACCTATGTGATTAAAGTTATTGTCAGTGTGTTGTTACGTCAACCTGTATGACATGAAAAAACGTGCTTTCACTTTAAAGGAGTTGTCATTTGGACAGGAAAGAAGTACGAAGGTTTGAAGAGGGTTTTATGTAGATTTGAAATACATTAGTCAAACTTTTTACAAGAACTAAACATATACGAATACGTAGTAAATGTCCGAGAAATGATTGAATTCATAAAATGGGCTTTCACCCACGTAATGGATTTTGGAAAAAACAATTAAAAAAAAAATAGTTTCCCACATAACAAAATGTGGCAAAACATTGAATATAAACTGCATTTATATTGGTGATTATCAATTCATTCCGTGAATATTTGTATTTTTCTAACATTAGATAAACTGGTGTCCATCAAGGTCAGGACACAATCGACCATCAACGCACCAAAGTCTGCACAATCCAGTGCACAAAGGACACTTGCAACAACTAAAGCAATTGAAGAGATTTTCCATACTTGACCAAATCTATGCCATTAGTAATTGAGGTCGTAAATACGTTATCAATTTACTGAATACTGATTCATTGAATATTACATTGACTCTAATTCAAAGAAAGTAGCATGGAACTAATATGTAAAGAAGACAAAAAACTACTGTCGAATCGATCGGATTCTTGCTGGACATTTTCTCTTATCATGCCCTCTTTGCAAACACAAATTACAATGGTGTAATCCACTTTGTCTGGAAGTATCCATTTTGTTGTGGATACGGCTATGTTGAGGACGACCCATTTTAACTTCACGTTGTCGAGCTGGAATAGCAAGCAAAGTTGGGTAATCATTGTCAAGCCAATATTGCTCGTGCGGCATGGGCCTAAACTTCTGCGCGAAGATACGCTTGTGGACTTCCAACCTATACTCTGATGCAACGAAAGGAAAAGGGCCCTCGCCCAAGTCTGCTGTCACAGCAAGCATGTGGGAACATGGCAAGTGAAATAATGTGTACTTCCCACATGAACAACTCGGTGGTCGGAGACTAACTATTTGACGAGCACCACCCCCCATCCCATGCGGTGCTGTCCTCACCTCATATTCCCCTATTCCCTTGCAGGAAAAATGTATGTACGTGGATTAATATGCATATATGTTTAAATATAGACTAACATCAATGATCGACGAGTGCGAAATGTTGATGTGTAGTGAATTCGGTGCATCCAATAAAAATTACCTATTAATCGGTACCAACATATGCACATTCGCTTTAGCTTGGTGCTCGTCAATCCATCGTTGAACATTAGTCGTGTACAAGTGACCCCGATTACTCGCATTTTCAACAATGGTCCTGCCCTCGTCAAAATATTTCACGAGTCGATAAAAAGTTATCTCAACTGATGCTATAATGGGAACACTGCGTGTGCCTTTTAGTACACCATTGAAGCCCTCTATATGGTTTGTCATCAATATGCCCCAACGACAACCACCATCATGGCACAATGTCCAATGAATAGGGTTCATCCGTCTAAACCATTGTTCAGCATTCTTCTCGAGCTTGTAGATATCGTCCATAATCTTGTTAAACTTCCGCACTTGTCGTGCAGAACCAGCTCTCCACACAAGATCCTTCGCTACTGTATTGCCGAATCTTTCATTGAAATTGCTACATATGTGTCGCAAGCAATACCTATGGTACCCTCTTGGTTGAACTGCTGGATTGTCCCAAATTCTTGACACGACACTAAGCAAAGCTGTGTGTCGATTGGATATCAATGTGACCCCCTCTCAGTCACGGCACACATGTCGCCTAAGCAAAGTAATGAACCAACCCCAACTCTCGATCATCTCCTTGTCAACAACGGCAAAGGCAAGAGGTACAATCTTGTCCGCAGCAGTCACTGCAGTGGCCGCAACAATCTTCCCTTCGTATTTCCCGTACAAGTGTGTGCCGTCAATGCATATCACTGGACGACAATACTTGAAGCCTTCTATTGCAGGTTTAAATGCCTAGAACACATAGTTCATGTACATCTCAGTTCCGATTGAGGTAGAGTGCAAATTTGGAATCATGTTCCACATGACAACTGTGCCTGGATTGAATGCCTATAATGCAGCCATATATCTAGGCAACCTTCGGTACGACTCGTCCCAGTCACCAAACACCATTGCAACTGCTTTCGTCTTTGCAAGCCACGCTTTCTTATATGATATAGTGAATTGAAACTTCTCCTTCACAACCCCAATTATGGTAGCAAGAGGCAATTCTGGTGATATCTGCAAATATAAATTATATTTGAATACATTACAGTCATAATGAAATCCAAAAAACAATAATCTATCTAGCATGGCACTTACCACAATTTGTGCCTTGATGAAATGAGCAATGACCTCGGACTTGAGGTTGCAATTGTCCCTATTCATTCTAGGGTACACACACTGATACGGCGCTTCAAACTTTCTAATTTGAAAGAAATCTTTGTCTTTTAACTTCGTTGCCCAAACCCTCTAGTTGCAGCCGTGCTTGCACTCGGCCACCCAACTGTTTCCTTTGGATTCTATGACCTTGCATTGTCGATTGCACTTCAGGTTATACAATTGAACAGCGTGCATTAGTCTTTTCTTATCAGTAAATATCATTCCTTTCTCCAAATGAGCAGTTTCGAAGTCCCATAATGGCCAACGTTCGACAACATCACGGCTAGTGATGGAACCATCATTGTCGAAATGCAAATTGTGGTAGAAAGGGATATGGACATTTGTGTGTACCTCCTACGTATCATGATGCCCTCTAACTTCGTCATCACCGGAGTCATTGTCTGCACCTTCCCATGCGCCATCCACATCTTCCACGAAATCTTCATCACTTACTCCAACCTCGTCAAACAATGGCACTGTATCATCGGAGGATGCATAATTTTGGACAGCCATCTCCGTTGTACGTTGAACATTACAAACCGGTGGACATTCTTCATTCCAGTGGGGATATGGGGTTGTAAGAACCACCGGATTATACGTTGTCGGAGCACTTGGACCTGCTCCGTCACTGTAATAACCATCTACGTTCTGTAATGCATTTAATTGATTGTAACTCTGAGAATGATTGAATGGAGGGTAATCTTCAGGGAACATGTGTGCAGACTGTATAAGTGTATTGTCAGGGGATTGCGATTGTGTCAACATTTGAGTGAATGTCCCACCCACCGGAATTGGCATCTCTGTGCCACCAAAATTGCTCTTCTTCTCCACATAGATTTCCAAAAAATAATCAGGGCCTAATTTATGTGGGAGCTCTAAGACATTACTTAAGGTCTCATTATCTTTGATTGGCAGCAACCTATACTTCCCCCGACATGGGAGTCTACATTTAAACTCTAATCGCATTATTTCCCTATGCGTACCAACCTTCGGCACCATCATAGCCTCCAACTCGCCCAATGTTATCCCCCTGTGCACATTATACAACCCCTGAGGTTCGGTGTCGTACTACACACCTTCATCGCGATTGCGCAAAATCTTTCCACCCCAATAGAACATAATGCTCACAACTTCCATACCTACACTTTGCATTCAAAGTAACTCAATTATTTCAAAATAATAAAGTAAGCACATTTGAGAGCAAACACCACATATATTACACAGGAGTGCCTTTAGGCATGGGTCTTTTGGTATTACAAAATATTTAAGTGGCATATCGACATGAACATGGAAATGAAAGTTATTTGCTCCATATATAATAGCATCCTACATGACTTATATTTCTTGTATTATTTAGAAGGATTATCTGTTTGTATATTTAAACAAAAAATCATGTGTGGGATCATTTCTCCAATTTTCATGAATTAACATTTGAATTCTTTTGTTGTGATTTGTCATGATTTCTTCATCCATTCTTACGAGCTTATATTTTCCTTTACTCTTTGTTTTATGTTGTTATGCTTTCCCTTTGGTATTATTATTACTTTTTTAAATAATTTTTTCAATTAAAACTCTTTTTTTGGGGCTTTTATTTTGTTCAGGTTTATCAAACCTGTTTTCGTCATGTGTTTCGTGTGTAGTTGCTTTCATACTTTGATTTTTTTAATTTCACATTCTATGAAATAGCATGCACATACTGTAAGAACTCTTCCCACAACCTCACTGTGTGCGCCATAATTTCTCATTTCATCTTCACGCATGGAGTTACAACACCTCAGTTTAGAAGAAGCTCTAAGGATTGTTGAATAAACATTTGTTTTCTTAACTCCGTTTGATTGGGCTAATTACATTGATAAAGAGGTTATCTTTGCAACTTGGTAAAGTAAATGCCAGTCAAACAGATGTCAGATCAAGTGCAAATCAATGACACATAGACCCTTTGAACTTCTTTTGACTAAAAATCACCACAAGAATTAAGACCAACCAAAAAACATTTTTTGAGACTTTATTGTGATAACAAATTAGCTACCAATTGTGCTCGTAGTCTAGAATCCATTAAGGAGCAATGCACCGATTGTTTATTTTTCCATGCCTACTGTTACAAGAATTTCGCAATTTCTTTTAATATATTTTTCTTAAAATGGGAAACCCCTTTATCCAACTAAGCATTCATAACACTCAACATGTTCAAGTAATTAACTATCTAGAATTTATTAACATCAATAAAAGTTTTTGTTTTTTTTCCTAAATATTTTCATACACTTTCAAATCCTTTTGTTATTTCTCATGTTTTCGAAAAGTTTGAAAAGTTTCCAATTCTATTTTCATTTCCAACCTAACCGAAAGAACGTACGGAAACGAAATTTTGATCCTATTAGAGAAGACGGAAAAATTATCACATTTTAATAACAACATTTGATTTCTTTAACATCAATTTATAACCCAAGTTTGACATCACATATGCACACCCATACAGTACCACCGAACAAAGTACTAGCCAAAATTAACAACAAACAAAGAAAAAAAGGAAAAAAAAGCTTACTAAAAATAAAAATAAAAATAAGAAAAAATAAGCACTTTTTCATATTTTTTATTTTTTAGTGAAATTTTTTTCACTTCTCATAAATATTAAAATTTTAAGTATATTTATATTAGGTGCATCAAAATAAATAGATTTGTAATTAAAATCTAAAAAAAATCAAAAATAGATGAAGACAAAAATAAAAGCTCATTTTTTTAATTTTTTTTAAATTTCTAAACTCTATTAGAATGTGTGTATTTCTTAAATTTAAATTTATCACAATAGTACCTGTAACCCCGTGCAAGGCATGGGCATTTTACCCTAGTATCTATATATCTGGCCCTGAAGGGTTGCACTCTATCACAAAAAATATGGTTTTACCATAAAATTGTATAACATCAGTAACAAAATGTATAATCTCGGTACAATTAGCATAATAAAATGTCAAAAATTTTGTGGTTAATGATGTAAAAGTTTTTGGCTTAGTTACGATATTTTTTATTATGCCAATTTGTAGTTAGGTTATGCATGATGTAAAAGTTTATGATTTTGTTGCGACATTTTTTGTTACGTCAATTTGTAATAAGATTACACATTTTGTGGCAGGTGCATATGGTAGCATTTTCCATATATCTAGGCTTGAATAACTCGATTTAGATCTGTTGTTATTGCATACGATGTAATGGGTTGGGCTAGGCTGTGGGCTCATCCAAGAAAATTGTGGGCTTATTGTAGGGCTTGGTCCAAACGGGCCAAACTTCTATATCTAGAGGCTCTAAATTATAGGATTTTCCTTTTTTCAAAAAAGGTTTGATTCCCTTATTAGATGTGGGCTTTTTCTTTTTATATTTTTTTTGAGGATCTTTCTTGCACATATTTATAATTTTCTTTTTGTGTACTAAAAAAAATGTAATTAAAATACAAGGAAAAATATGTTAAGTTTGTTGTGAAGTTTTCTCGAACCTATTATATTATTATTTGAAGGCATTTGTTATTCCCAAACTTTTAGAATTATGAACTTTTTTATCTTGTTTTTTCTTTTTTTTCTTGCCATTTCTATTTGAAAAATCTAGAAATCCTCTAGATGTTGATTTGTGATTATGTATCAATTTTAAACAGAATATAACAATCTCAATCAAACAATCAAGACAAATCGACACAACGATTTTACGTGAAAAAACCACAATTGGACACCTCCAATCGTGATCAAAAACCCACGGGCAACAACCACAAGACAATCCACTAAGAAGATTTAAAGGAATTACACAGGTATACTCTCAATTACCTAGCGAATCCACACCCGAATTGAACCAACCTCTATGTGCCTCTTCCAACCCCATCTTCACCTCGAAATTGTCTTTATGATGAGCTACTCCAGAATCCACCAAAGCTTCAGAATCCACTGAAGAACAACTCTCTTTTTTGTGTAGAATAAATAAACAAACCTTTGATGTATGCTTCTTAAACCATGAGTTGAATACTCAACGAAACATCAAAGAAAACTAGCAAAATATCCCCAGATATAAACCCTAGAACCCAAAAAGAAGATTTGGAGGAGTAATCCTAAAATATGACCCAACACGCGAATTTATAGAATTTGTCCCACAATCTCCGCTCGAGCGCCCAACATCCTGCTCGAGCGGCTTTAGAAAAATATGCGCGTGATATAACAGAGGTCCGCTCAAGCGCTAGAGAACCCACTCGAGCGCGAAATCACACATCTCAGTACTTTTACAAGCGACCAAAACTGCTGGAACCAAGGATTCTCCGCTCGAGCAGACAGGCAACTTGGAATGCATTTTTGCATTTTGCTTCGGGGGCGCTGCCCCTCGACCCTGCCTGGGCGCTACCCCGGACCCACCAAGGGGCGCTGCCCCCTGGACCCCCGCGAGCTAACCGGGTAGCTCGATCCCCGTCATAATCAGCGAAGTGGCAATCTCGAAAGCATTAGCATCACAAACTTCTCTGAAAGGCACAATTCGGGTTGGATTCGCATCTAAACACTCATAACCTCACTAAAATAAAAGTGCGAAAATAAATACAACTGAAAGGAGTTTTGTCAAACGGGATTGCCAAGAATAAAAACCTAACACTATTGACAAATTTAAAATCCAAATGTAGAAATTAAAATTAAATCTTCTAAAATATGCCCCTCAATTCCTTGGTCATTTGGCATATTAATTCCATGTTGATCATTCAAGAGGTAAAGTCTCAGAAAATTATGAAGTCCAAGTGTCCATCAATGGCCGTAGGGGGTTCGAGGACAACAATGTGATGTTGAATCACCAAAAACTCCAAGCAACTCATTGTTGTTCTTTGTTTTTAATCTTTCCTCAACCCACTTACAAAAATATATATATTTTTTGATTGGTATCCGGCTGTAATGGCTGACTAATATGAGAGATCAATCCCAATGTAGTGGACAGTGGGACAGTGGGATTAAGGGAAGAAGAAGAAGAAGAAGAAGAAGAAATCATAGAGTCCA